TTTAACCTTAGATATGATTGTTGTCTCTCTGTAGACAACTAGGAAGAAAAACATCTCCTACCGTACTGAAAGTTTAACATTGCCCCTAGCACCAGTTTGGGCGAAAATCTTTGAAAACAAATTATTCCGATAGACTGTAAGATGTAACGCCACCAAATCGAGACCAATCAAAGTGAACGTACGGGTAAGTAGTACATATTTAAGACGAAACAGTTCCTACGTTTAGGTGTAAATATCAAACTATGTAGAACATATTTTGGTAATTTAGGTATAAAATGAAAGGGACGGAATGGTGATCCTTGTAGAACAACTTTTGACTGATTAAAAAAACTGAAAAAACCTAAAAAGAACGGCATATATTGACTGTTACTCAGATATGAAGTACCTGATTTGGCACATAAGAATATTTGGGTTCGCTTAGCCTAATCAGTAGTGAATCAAAAAGAAAATAACAAAAATACCGAACTCAAAGGAAAATTCAAATCCGAGAGTCCCTTTTCAAATGGCAAAATCAAAAGTTGGAACACATCAAACCGTCATATTCCTGACTTGGTTACAGTTCCTACGTTTAGGTGTAAATATCAAACTATGTAGAACATATTTTGGTAATTTTGGTATAAAATCAAAGGTGAAGGAATGGTGATCCTTGTAGAACAACTTTTGACTGATTATAAAATGTATGAATAAATCTAGAAGAAACGGCATATATTGACTGTTTCTTAGCTATGCAGTACCTGACTTGGTACAAAATAATATTTGGGATCACCGAGCTTAATTAGTGGTGATGCAAAAAGAAAATAACAAAAATACCGAATTCGAAGGAAAATTCAAATCAGAAAGTTCCTTTTCAAATGGAAAAAACAAAAGCGCAAACACATCAAACGAAATGAAAACAACTGTCATATTCCTGACTTGGTACGGGCATTCCCTTATGTAGAAAGTGGTGGATGAAACCTGGTTTTATAGCTAGCTAAACCTTTCACTTGTAGGACAGTCGCATATAATTCCATTTCATTGACAACAATATGTGAACAAAACAAACAGACATGATAGTTACAAATGTCAAAAACAGGGGCACAGCAGTAAACATTGTGTTAAAATCGTAATCATTATAAAAACAAGAAATATATCAACAAAGAAAACCAAATGGCATATAACCAAAGCACATAAGCTAGAATGAAAGTCTATAATACAAAAAATTACTACAGCACAACAACACAAGGAACTAATAAAAACGTGAATAGTTACATGTAAATAATAAAAGGAGGAAGGAGCCAAACCTTATATTATTCTAATTCTTAAGATAAGAAAAAGGCAATCATGAGTAAAAGTCAGACCGCAAACTCTTATAGCTGTATAATTTGACGTTACAACATGAGGGGGCTTATAGAGGACACATTTCAATATCTTCATTTAAGACGAAAGACTCTAATACAAAAAAATGCAGTCTTGTTATTTGAGCAAGCTACATAAATCAGAAAAGAGAAGTCAGATAAAGTTTTATTGATTTGACACTTTTTATGACTATATGTTTAAATTGCTTCTTAGTTCAACTTCATTTTGTTTTGAGATTAGACAGACGCCATACCCTAGTTATTATTTATTATACATTGTATGGCGCGGAATCAGGGTCAAAAATACTTATTTACGTATATACATAATTATTTCTGTATATACAGAATTAGATTTACGTATATACGTAAATCGAATTCCGTATATACGTTAATCGAATTCTGTATATACAGAAATAATTATGTATATACGTAAATAATTTCGTATATCAGAAATAATTATGTATATACGAAATTCGATTTACGTATATACGTAAATCAATTTACGTATATACAGAATTCGATTTACGTATATACGGAATTCTTTGTGTATATACGTTAATATTTTTGCATACTAGACATTGATACAACCTGCCAATGAAATTCATTGTTATAACAATGATTTCTCTTTTCTTTGACTAATGAGAACCGAGAAAGTCATTTTCTTCCATTTACGTGGGTTCGGATTCCGGTTTTCAGTTCCGGATCTAACTCTCGTTTTTGGGGGGTGGGAGGTTAAAACAGCAACAATAAAACTTATGCATAAAATAACCAAATTAACTCATATGTTTAACAAAAAACACATCAGAGATGTATATTGTCAAATAAAACCTTGAGAGGAATATTCGATTTCGAAAGTTTTTAAATGAATTAAGTGCGACTACGAACAGACAATCATAACAGCTTCAATTGTACTCTCGTTTATATATTCCGGATTAAAAAAAAATAAATAAGCATATTTTACCAGCAAAATATCATATCTGGGAACATTAGTTTTCACGTATTATGTTGTTTTTTCAAATTTTTTTTTGGTGCATATTTTTTGTTATCTTGCTTGTTTGTTTATGTTTAAAATCACTTAATTTTGACAACAGACACGCTTTAATTACATTTTTAGTTTGATATAACAATAACTGGCACTTTAAAGTAAATAAATTTACCTTCTCTAGAACTGCCAGTTTAATATTAAGCAATGTATTGATTCAGTTTAATTGGCATAAATAACAGGAAGCATACCAAAGTCACAGTAAAATCTCGTACAACATGATCAAAGGACAATGCACCTCCAGGAAAACAGACGAGGACAAAATAACAAGGTGTGGGATTAAACACGAAACACAAACACCGAAAACACTAAAAACCAAAGCATGGACAATGCGAACACTCAAACTCTCAAACATACTGAGAGTGAAACTTTTCCTGCTCATTGTCCAAATGTAATGTAAAAGCGGATAGTAAGTCATATAAAAAAGAAGATGTGGTATGATTGCCAATGAGACAATTCTCCACAAGAGACCAAATGACACAGATTTTAACAACTATAGGTCACCGTACGGCCTTCAACAATGAGCAAAACCCTTACCGCATGGTCACTATAAGAAGGACGGACTAGGAGTACGACAACGGGAGCACATCCATAACCATTTGTGAAATGGACATTCCATAATGCTCAACCAAATCGTGATGGCGACTAAAAGATTTTTAAGTGAGAATATTAAAGTTTTTTTCTGTAACTCTGTTTAAATATCTTACTTGATAAAGATAGTCCTCTATCTGTGAATCATTTGTACTGCACGCACGCCCTTGTGTAAAGTATCAGTTGTGAAATGTGGACTCCATGATGAGATATATGTTGCTGTATAGAAACGGAAAGATCAGAAAACACGCATTTGTTGAAACTTTTCCAACCTCTTCCAGAACTGCTACCTAAACGCCGTTTTTATAGTGTACTCTACAATTATTTTAACTGACAAAACAAAAAACTGAATATGAGATGAGTATGTTTTGGAAGTAAGGTGAACTGTTTGAGTACCCTCGGCGTACATGTCCACGTCCAATCTTAGTTCTCAGATACCGGTAAACCTACATGCATGTTACTTGGGTGTGCGGCTTGCTTCCAAATGTAGGTTACCTTGACCTGTATTCCATGCTTCAGAGGAGACAGACCACGATGATAATCCTGTTCAATGAAATATTATTAAAAACTATTTCTTGGTTAGTATTCAAAAAGTTTGATGTGCAAACTTATCTTGACTAGAATCAAAGTTGTAAATATATCAGTGTGACGTTTCCCCTCCCACTCCGTTTGTCCCGAGAGGAAAGAAATGAAGTCCAAAGAAAGCTATGGACAAAAATAGCCCTAACCCCAGTACCATACTTAGGATGGGTCCCATGGGTGGGGGCTTTGGGTTGATTTTGTAATGTTCGTTCCCCTTTCTTTCGGAATGGTAGGGCTAGGGATCCCATTTCCTTTGTATACTTGTTTATGTTTGCTTAATATTTTTGTTTTTGCGCGAACTTGTAGCCATCTTTGTTTCGTTTATTTCTATTTTAGGTGATAGTTATGTGAATTCGATATCTTTTGATATTAGCAAAATCTTAACTTTTTTGAGTTTTTTTTTCGTTTCATTTAACGACCTTGACGTAAACATAACTATATACGTTTGTCAGAAGCTCTTCATTTTCCTTCCAATGATATTTCAGGACAACGGTGACAATCAATAGTTAATACACTATCAATTTTCACTTAATATGCATGAAGTTAACAACTGTTTTTCGAGATGTACAAACTTGACGGGTGAGTTATTTCAATTTGATATTACTTCTAGATTCAACAGAACTTTTTTAATATCCATGCATTTGGAAGATATTTTGCACCTGCATTTTGCAATCGTTCATTCAGAAATGTGCAGGTCACAGGTGCAATTTTAAGGCTCTAGATGGTCACAGTGTGGGAACGGAACTGTACGGTTTTTTAATATTTTGGTCATTCGGGAGACTTTCAAGCGAGGCTCCAACAATTGAAAAAAAACAACAAGTTACTGAATGTAAGTTTTGATTAACGCACACGTTACAATATTACGTTTCTGCTTGAAGATTTGGTAACGAAAACATTCTACATAAACATCTAGACCAATCGAATACCGAAAACAACATATGCAGCCAGACGTTTTCCCTTAAATGGTTGAGCTCCGAGTAAATCGCTTAAAATTCTTCATCAACAGGGAATAAATTTAAAAAAAAATGCAAATTAGTATTACTATTTTAACCGATGTGGACTGTTTTGGTCGAAAGCCGCATCCCAGATTAATTTGGCGGCAATTTATTTACAAATGCTTTTACACGACTGACATAAGCGTTATAATATTTAATCCTAATATTTAATATAACTCTTTCTTTTGTGATCATTTAAATAAAATTGTTTTAAGTTAGGCTTAACTGCTGGGGTACAGCAAGGATTTTCATAGTAGTAAATTCTTCGTTTAGCGAGGATAAACAGTATATCTTCCCATGTGATATAGTGATAAGCCTGACTAGTTTTCGTATGTGTATTCACAAAAGAAAATCTAAGAAACGACTGATTTACGATCGACAATACTCGACAAATTATATTTTTGTTCATCTGAAAATCACCCCATTTAGGACCCCAATATATTTAGCAGGATAAGTTTTCTCCCTTGAAAGCAATCTTCTGTATTATTTTCCCGTAGTTTTTCAACAGACACACAAGTCACAACAAAGATGTTAGTTAATTTTTGTAAGACTATAATATTAACAATAAGATTACAAAATGTAAATTATGCTTCTTAATTGTTATCTCATAATCAATAGAAAAAATACATGACATCATGTCGGGTTAACTTAAGGTGTTTCACTGTTTTTGTTCCTGTGTCGATGTGTGTGTAATCAGGGACTTTCTATAGTAAGTACTTAGTATAGAAAGTCCCTGGTGTAATACTAATCATGCTAATAATGTAGTTTGTTGATTTTATGGGTATGTATGTGTATGTGTCTTTTGCATGTAAACTGTTGTTAAAATTGAAAGAAAGCAAATGAAAATCGAGATATCTACTGACAGTACAGTAGCAAATATAGAAAATTTCAGTGGCGGATCCAGAAATTTTCATAAGGGTGGGGAACTGACTGCCTAAGAGGGGGCCCGCTCCAGTCATGCTTCAGTGATTCCTTATATAATCAACCAACAAATGGGGGCCCCCTACCCCCCCCCCCCCCCCCCCCCCCCCTAAATCCGCCTCTGTTTTTTACACCTGAGACTATACATGTACTGTTATAGATTTGTATAGTCTCAGTTCATATGTACATTCTGTAGCAAGGACTAGGTCATGCTAGTGATTTAAATATTTATATTGAAAAAAAATCATGATTATGTTGCAACAATTAACCTGTTAACTGAACAAATATAAAATTTTCAGGATAAAAAATAATTCTGTCTTCAGAATTCCATTTTATTTAGTATAAGTTGTTGTACAAATGTAAGACTTTACAAGGCGGTAGAATATCAGGCTAAAGTTAAAGATTGTAAGACAAATTAGGTTTATGGCCTGCAATCATAATTGTGTTGCCTATCCAATTTAACTACCTCATTTGTCTATTATTTTACTGTTTTTCAGCAGTGAGTACATTGGACAGCATTCAAAAGAAAATAAAAAGAAGAACACAGAAACAGGCAAAAGAAAAAAAAAAAAAAAGAAGATAAACACCTGAAATCATGGTATGTTATTTTTATGCCCCGGCCATAAGTGGCAGGGGCATATAGTGCTACCTATGTCTATCCTTCTGTGACTTCAATATTTCCAAACAAAACAGTTGTCTTGACTTTGTTTTGAATAATGAAACATAAATGTATATATACTGAGTCATGTTAATATACATGCATAAGAAAAACAATAGTTTTGAGATATTTGTATTTGTGTGTTGCAGTACATATTATCAGGGTCTACCTTTTAATTTAAAGTCAACATTTTAACCATAGCATTACATGTAAGCTTAAGGGTCCTCATATGACCATGATTTCATTGAGAAGAAAACAGAAAAAAACATTGAAAATACAAACGTAGATTTATTGGTAGAGTCATGCCAAACAAAATAATATGTGTTTCAAGTTTCAGTCATTTTGTTGGTATTGATTACAAAAATGGGATGCAGGTACATATAAGAATAAAATGTAGTATGATTGCCAATTAGATAACTCTCCATCAGAGACCAAATGATGTAGAAGTAAGCAACTATAGGGTACTGTATGGCCTTCAACAATGAGCAAAACCCATAACCAAAAGTGCAAATGCAAGCTATCAATTCAAACAATGTACATTTTCGTACATTGTACATATAAATTATACGATTGCAGACTAAATATCATAAAAACAAATATTTCTGTTCCAGATATTGGATGAATTTTAATTTATCAAGATGCTGAAGTATAAATGAATATGAAGGTTATAGGAAGTAAACCTGAAAAAGTTCTGAGGTGTCTTACCAAAGATAAACAAAAAAAGAATTGAAGGTATGACTAGATTTACATAGTAACATGTATTTTTCAAGCAACTCCTATTTATAAAATCATTTTTATTCGTTTAAGATATTAACAAGATATGATAATTCATTTTTTATGACAGATATCATCAATATTTTGAGTATTATAATGAAAATAAACTGGTGTCATATATATTACCATTAAAAATTCAATATGACATAATATCTGTACATCAACATATATGTATAAAAAGAAGATGTGGTATGATTGCCAATGAGACAACTCTCCACAATAGACCAAATGACACAGACATTAACAACTATAGGTCACCGTACAGCCTTCAACAATGAGCAAAGCCCATAACGCATAGTCAGCTATAAAAGCCAGTCTTAGACCCTGAAATGTATCTACTGTGGACTTTATTTATAAGAGTAATATGATTGGTTGCTTATTAATAGAATGGTATAACTAAAAAGACGTATAATGTTAACCCCATATGAAAGTACAGCTGAATAATTGCTTATCAGTTAACCCTTTTATAATGGAAAAGTGAGGTTTACCACTGATCTGTTAACCATTATTATCAGGGAACAGTGCAGCAATTCTCAGATTTGTTTACTTTCTTTTTTTGCGCACTCAGTCTTAACATTTGTCCATTAGTTTTCAAGGTTAAGGTTTTTTTTCTCTCCAGAAAATCACTTTGAACACAATAAACTTGGTATCTGTTGATTTTTAATGAACTTTACACATATATCTGCATATGTTTTGTAATTAACTGTGCAATGTATAAATAGATTTTATTTAAAATGACAATATATCAACTCACAATTATTTTCAAGAAAAGGGGCATCTAGATTCAAGTATATTAGGTAGTAAAAATTCACTTTTAAGTTATAATTTAAACTTTATTACCTTCAAAGGCCATACATAAATGAATTGAACAATATTTCAGGAGGCAGAGTACAAATTTCTTCCTGAAACTGGATACTCAAAGGCAAAGGGAAGAAGTCGACTACTTTCATATCCTTACATGAAAATGTTGTTGAAAACGAAGTGGATAAGTACACAAAAAGCCACCATGAGGAGGGACTCAGATCAGCTTTATATTTGAAAGGGACAAGAACAATTAGAAATGTCAGATATAGCGACTGAAACTTTATATTATTTTACATGTTACATCTATTATACTGTATCAATCTTGGAAAATATTTGTGATTTTATAAAGAATAATTGCAATGAATAAAATTTCATACATTTTTTTTTATTTCTCAGTATTTATGATGCCTATACAAAATTTTATATTAGTGTAGGAGATTACTCTTGGTATAACATGTACCTTGTTTTGGAAACAAACAACTGGTTGCACTATGCAGGGTATTTTTTAGTTCGAACATTAATGAGTAAATAATGACAAAATACTCCAGTCATGAAACCTGACAAGTTTAAAATATTTGGGGTATAGGAAACTGCAAAGGACAAATTTTAGTGGTAAGATTTTCTATACAAGCCAATGATACAGATCTTGTCATTTGAAGAGCAAAAGGAACAATACTAATGCTTAGCTAAAACACATTTTAAAAACACACATTTCAAAACATACAATGCAAAAACACTTGCGGTGTACACAAAAAATCACACATGTGTTTAAACAAAAACATATCTCATTTATAAACACTTAAAAGTGTTTTAAAAGTGTGTCTCCTTCATAAACACTTAAAAGTGTTTTATATTAAACGCTGAAGTGTTTTAGGTAAAACATCATAGTGTAATTGACAAAACATGTGTGTTTTGAAGGAAAACATTAGTGATTACTGTATAAAACATTTTAAACGTTTTATATAAAACACAAGTGCTTAGAACTAAACACTTAAAAGTGTTTTAAAACTGTGTCTGATATGTGTTTTAAAAGTGTTTTATTTTGAAACACTTGTTTTTACAGTGTACAGACACCTCGAAGGTCTAGTTCATGCTCATAACGTATCATGCTAAAGTTCTGAATATCCATGTAAAACTTACCAATTGAATTAAACATAACATCTTCCATCAAAATGGAACGTCTTTACTTTCATAAACCTTATTAAGATTTTTTATTCTATAGGAATAGGGGTGGGGGGGAGAGTAAAAGTTACTCTCCCTTTTTTAATTGTTCAACCAATGAATTTCCTGTAAGGCAAAGAGTCGGGTCACTGATTATTTGCTTTAGTAGACATCTATAATTCCAAAAGAAGATCATGAATTTATTGTTTCCTTGATGTTTGGTTCAAATCAGGTCGTCAAATGATTTTGCACGACTTCTTTTTTGAAATATTCGTTGATTTTTAACTCATTGGAAATAAGAGAAAACGGTATGCACGTGTAACCTACTCCCAAAGTAAGACTGTGTTTACGATAGGAAAAAAAATGTTTATTAGAGAAAACAGAATAAAAAAGGGGGTTACCCCAACCCTGGTGTCCTATTCCCATTCTAGGCATATCAGTGCATGTTCATAGATCTCCGTTGTAGTAGAACTTTGAAATAATACATCCAAGCATATTTGATTTATAAAAAAGAAGATGTGTTATGATTGCCAATGAGACAACTCTCCACAAGAGACCAAAATGACACAGAAATCAACAACTATAGGTCACCGTACGGCCTTCAACAATGAGCAAAGCCCATACCGCATAGTCAGCTATAAAAGGCCCCGAAATGACAATGTAAAACAATTCAAACGAGAAAACTAACGGCCTTATTTATGTACAAAAAATGAACGAAAAACAAATATGTAACACATAAACAAACGACAACCACTGAATTACAGGCTCCTGACTTGGGACAGGCACATACATACATAATGTGGCGGGGTTAAACATGTTAGCGGGATCCCAAACCTCCCCCTATTCTGAGACAGTGCATGGTATAGTAGTAATTTTTCGAAATTCGTTTTGCCTCCATGAGGTAAAGTTGGGTAAATCAGCAATTTCAGTTTGATTTCAGGCGTATTCCTCTCAGTTAACCTGTATACGCTGTTGTTCTGGCGTCTCTTCTATAGAAATTTGTTTTAAAGCAATCACATTCTCTCTAGTTTTCTTTATGTCAGGCATCTTTAAATATAAATCACGATCCCAAAATTCTCAAAACGTCCATTGCATACGCGCGTTTTTTATCCGACACCTCATCTGGGATACTTTCCGCGCCACATGACACTTCTATTGATATTGAAGATTTGCGCATCCGCAAATGGATGACCGGACAAATAGAGATTTTTAACTATTTTCCAGTCTAGCCGGACGAATAGACACTCCGTTTTTGTACTCGTTGGTCCGGTTGTTGTCTCTTTTACACATTCCCCGTTTCCATTCTCAAATCGTATTACTATTATCACCAACATCTATGATGCCCCGAAAAGGTCGAATGTTCAACCCTAAATCTGTATTGCTTGCATGGTGACGAAACTGCAATCTCGACTTCTGCCACATCTCAAAGGACTAAAAGACAAAGCACGTTGCTATTGATTCTCCTTCCAAGCATAGCAATAGTACTCAAGAACACGTGCACTAGCTTCCCTGTTCCTCTGTTAATAGCGTTGCAAACTTGCGGGGTTAAACATGTTAGCGGGATCCCAAACCTCCCCCTAACCTGAGACAGTGGTATAGTAGTAATTTTTCGAAATTCGTTTTGCCTCCATGAGGTAAAGTTGGGTAAATCAGCAATTTCAGTTTGATTTCAGACGTATTCCTCTCAGTTAACCTGTATACGCTGTTGTTCTGGCGTCTCTCCTATAGAAATTTGTTTTAAAGCAATCACATTCTCTCTAGTTTTCTTTATGTCATCTTTAAATATAAATCACGATCCCAAAATTCTCAAAACGTCCATTGCATACGCGCGTTTTTTATCCGACACCTCATCTGGGATACTTTCCGCGCCACATGACACTTCTATTGATCATGATTGAAGATTTGCGCATCCGCAAATGGATGGCCGGACAAATAGAGATTTTTAACTATTTTCCAGTCTAGCCGGACGAATAGACACTCCGTGTTTGTACTCGTTGGTCCGGTTGTTGTCTCTTTTACACATTCCCCGTTTCCATTCTCAAATCGTATTACTATTATCACCAACATCTATGATGCCCCGAAAAGGTCGAATGTTCAACCCTAAATCTGTATTGCTTGCAATCTCGACTTCTGCCACATCTCAAAGGACTAAAAGACAAAGCACGTCGCTATTGATTCTCCTTCCAAGCATAGCAATAGTACTCAAGAACACGTGCACTAGCTTCCCTGTTTCTCTGTTAATAGCGATGCTAATTTTTTTTTTTCAAGTCATATATGGGTAGGCCCAAATTGAATACTAACTTTTGTGCAATCTTTATAATGTTCATGTCGTGTTTTTGTTACTATTCGTACTTCATCGAGCACTCATAATATGTCATAATTGGAGGATGGCTAAAATATAGAAATACGAAATATATTGTATATTTTCAAATACCACAAATATCTGCCAAAGACCAAACGACGGTAAATTAAACAAACAAGTTGATAGACGACCTTCAACAATGAACAAAAGCCATACAATGTAATAAATTATGAAACAATTCAAACGAAGATCACCAACAGCCTTCAGTATGTTATGATAAAACATGATAAGACAGAAAGCAAAAAATCAGGTCCCTGAAAATTTGATTTTACCCAGAGACTTCAATTTACAGGTGACAGAATCTGTGACCAAAACAACATGGATTTTTTATTGACCCCGACTTATCAGTTGTCCTCACATTAATAGTTAACGTTGTTTTATATATCGTGCTTAAGGAATAGAAACATGCATGGCCCAGAGGTGGATTTAGAGGTTTTTTTTTCAGTGGGCACGCCCCCCCCCCCCCCCCCCAAATTTTGTGGGGAAAAAATGGTTGGTTAAACAGGGAATCACCGAAACATGATTGCAGCGGGCCCCCTCTTCGGCAGTCAGTGTCCCCTCCCCCTTATGAAAATTTCTGAATCCGCCACTGCATGCATGACAAAACAGAAAATAACAGTCAGGAATAAAAGACCAGTTTAAAAATCTTTGTTTACTACTAACACTGTTTATATTTTAAATAGATAATATCTTATTTGAAAACTATTTACTAGATAGTTTAGAGGATAGATTGATGTAGGTTTATGTGAAATTGGTGAGAGAAAACAATGTTGCAGGGAGGATAGAGATTTTCATTGAACTTTCCATTTCACTCCAAGTCATAATATTAAGCCCGCATTTACTCATATATGTCTACAATTTTATCTCAGCATGTTATCAGTAATCTGTTATATATAAACTATGTGGTCACACCTTCTCAATGGTTCACTAATTGTAACCAGATGTATGTTGACTAAGTAAACCCATTAATGTTTAACTGTCTTTATCAGAAATTGTTTTGTAAAATTGGTATGTCTCTGTCCTTCCACAGGTTTCATTGTATTTTCAGCTCTCTCTGAACAAAAATATGATCTTGAAAATAAAATCTGGAACTATTATACTATACTATTAGTATATAGTCCAGATAAAAATTATAATAAGAAAAAAATATAAGATTGATAATGAAGATATGAATATTTAGTTTATTACGATATTTTAGACAACTTTTCCTGCATTTATATGAAAGGATTTTGTTCCTCAACTTTATTTTCTATTCCTTGTATTTCTTAAACTAAAAAAAACATACGATATAAAATGTATGGTACATTTTTTTCTAAATAAATTTCTCATTAACTTAATGACTTCCTTTTTTTTAATAAGACTGCATTTTTTTTAAACTGTTGTTGAAGTGAATTCAGAGAAAACCAAAGAAGTACCATAAACAATTATTCCAACATCGACAAAGGATCTGATATATATATATATATACAACTCGTCTAAACATCAACCCAACAATGTTAGATCTGTAAATTTGCTTTCGCAATTTTTTTATTCTTCCCTCGCCGGGATTCGTACTTATATATATAAAAGAAGATGTGGTATATGATTGCCAATGAGACAACTGTCCACAAGAGACCAAAATGACACAGAAATTAACAACAATAGGTCACCGTACGGCCTTCAACAATGAGCAAAGCCCATACCGCATAAGCTATAAAAGGCCCCGAAATGACAAATGTAAAACAATTCAAACGAGAAAACTAACGGCCTTATTTATGTACAAAAAATGAACGAAAAACAAATATGTAACACATAAACAAACGACAATTACAGGCTCCTGACTTGGGACAGGCACATACATACATAATGTGGCGGGGTTAATAT